GGTATAATATTCTGGGTAATATGCCCATAAATATGAGGTAAGTATAAAATTACATGCAGTCGAAATCATCGTTTAGTAACTATGGGTAATAGCCAGTATCCACCCGGTAAATGAACCATCATTCGATAAGCCATCAACAAGGAGGCCTAGTATCCCCGTTGAGGAGCCGATCACGATCGACTATAAGGGGTTCTTGAATTGGATTCTTGCGTCCAACTTGTCAATTACCTTCTGCATTACCAGAACCGCGCTTGTCTTTTGAATATGCAACTGGTCGCAAATATCCTTAACTAGTTTACTTTCGAAGGATCCCAAAAACGACAGATCCAGGAGGGCAGTTGTAACTGCTAGGCAAGAGGACGCTGTTTCTTCCTATTTAGTAAAAAGTAGATCGTTACCTAACTTCCCTGTTGTCTTGAGGTGGTCCAATTAAATGGAAACTAACTCATTAGAATGGAAAGCCCGAAGATATTGAGATTTTAGAGACGCATTAAACCGTTTATGAGGCGCTTTAAGGGACGTGCAGATGGTACAGGTTGCATGCTGTAGTCACAGGGTCTGTTGGCACCAGAATCGCCGTCTTACTGCTACTTCGGTTCTAGTCGAATCCACAAGGACTAATTTATAATCGATATCGGCTAGTGTGCGAATACAGCAGTTACACGAGACAACAACCCTAGATTCAGTATCAACCGTATTTATCAATAAGAGAGAGCCGTTGTCAATTAGAGAATTGTCCGCATCTTTCGTGCCCTGTGGCCACTTTTGCGATCGAAGGATTTAACAAATGTTTTAGCTGACGGCATAGATCAGGAGTATTTTTTTGCGGACAATTCAGCATCCAGTGCCTATCGGGTCGTGCCGACATCACATACTGCAGGACAGCCATGCTTTGATCGCTGCTACGGACTATGGACGGTGGAGCCAGATCACACAGTTTTTGATGTAATCCTATGTCACTCGCTTACGAGAAATGCAAATTTTACAAACGGTGTACTAAAGACTTGGATGGGACTCGAGGGAACTGCTGCCACTAAAGTGACGCCATTTTATCTCGGATATTCTTCAGAATTGAGCTACGACTGCGCTACTGAACATGTAACGTTCTGTAATTGACTGATTGTTTAAGTACTTAAACCGCCAAATAGATAGAAATATGAAAAAAAACATCAGTTTATTAGCAAAATATGTAATATCTATGTTGGATAATTTATGAAGCAACATGTACTGGTTTCCTTTTTTCGTTTTTGTACTATGAGTGATCCTACTGGCATAGCGTTGGCCAATTTTTCGCCTTTACTAGGAAAATCTGGAGTAACTGTCCACTGATCGGCTGGGGCGGCAGACCCTGTCTACCATTTTGATGACGAGCGTAATCGATTCGTGAGCAGGT